AGACTGCTAGTTCTGCTGAAAACTGATCTAAGATTCTCGTTCGAACTCAAGAGAATGGGATTTTCGGCGCAGAGACTACACGTCTCACCATTCAGCTCCTTGAAATGAAATAGAAATCATGGAAACTTGAAAAAAGTTTCAATTAATCTCGCAATCTAGTGCACAAAGTCGAGTACGTGGCGCATTCTGGGACAATGCCCCAAGCCCATCTTTCTATGAAACGATCAGGCTCCACTAGTGTGATTAGGTACGCATCACATGCAAGCAACTATTTTGAGATGAAACTCGAGTGCATGGCGCAATCCTATATGGAGCTTTTCCAAAGTATCAAAGCACATTCTTATAGTGTCCGACGAGCTGAATTCAAAGATATCTTCGGATTCTCGAAAGCTCAATTTTGAACCGAGTTATAACGAATTCACGAAATTAACGAGGAATCGCGTTATTCGCGTGAATTTTCGATTTCAAACGGCGAGTACTGTAGCTGGGTCTGCAGGGGCACAAATCGTGCTAAGTAAAGGCCGAAAGCTCAGGTCAAGGACTCAAAGCTCAGTTAAGGAACCTTCAGTCTCACCGCAGCGAACGCGTTGATAACTGCGTTTCCCATGCTCTCTCATTCTTGTGGTTGTTCTCTCATTCCGGCATTTAGTGTACCTCACATTATGCCTTGTAGAGCTTCGCACACTCCTTCACCGCCAAAAAGACATTTTAATATCAGTTATTACAGTTCCCATTTCCTTTTTGTTCAATAGCGATCCACTTCGCACCTCTACGTTTATTTTCAAGTGAAATAACATTACTCGAATGAGGGTGGCTCAAAGGATCTCGCTCCCGGCTGCCTCACAACTCCATAACGCGGTTCTTCCTAACCATTAGGCCTTTCAGAAGAGTTCTGTCGTTTTTCAACCCCGAATTTCAAATGCATGTATCTCGGCTTAAAAAACTTTTCCGTTGAAATAAAAATCGTTTGAATGCGCTAACCTTCCGCTATAAGGAGCCGTTACCTTTGTTCAGAATGCTGGAGCTCTGGAGGCGGTGAACTGAGGGAAGGTCGTTTTAGCATCGGGTTGTGTTTTGAAGCATTTCTCTTCAAGGGAACTATCGAGGCCCCAAAAAGTGACAGTTGATAGCCAGAGGTGTACTGAGTATAATATCTGCAGCACCTCTTCTTAGCCTAGCTGGAACAACTTGGTTGTGCGACACGCGTGTAGCACAACTGTCAGAGATGTGTCCGTCCCTTTATAGATAATTGCAAACCGCGTATTTTGAAGATTTATGAATTTTGACATAGTGTATAGGATTCCTTCTTTTCATGTAACAGTTACCTTATACGGGGAACTTGGCCAGCCGCTGACCTGACGAAAGTTGCCATGGCCTCTCCTTTAGCACAGTTTAAGTTTGAAAGGTTTGTAGAGCTCGTCGCCGTCGAGTTATTAGGCAAAGCTTCGTGGGCTGTGGAGAATAATCCTTTCTTCATTGTACGCCGCAAATTAGTAGAAAGGCGAGTCGGTTACATCATATAAAAGAAGGTGGAAATTGAAGAGCGACCTTCCGAATTGGTGCTTTTATCGAGGCACACCCCTATCAATGGATTTTCCAACTACTTCTCAATGACTTGGTTCCACAAACTATATACGACCAGTTGGGCAGAGCTTCCTCAATGGTTCCTACGCACGAGTGTGCCTCAATCAAAACTTTTGGCTAGTCGGTGGCAACGTCCAATATCCGACCACCGCTTTTATCATATTCAGGCTCTCGCTTTCGTTGCAATAACTTTTTAAACTACTGCTTCTTAGCACATTATTGCGAATCTAAGCCAAGTGAATCGTTACTATCTTGAACTGTTCCCGCTACTTTCAAGTCTATTCTAAAGCTAGAAAAAGAAAATCATGCTAACTTGCTCATCGAGTATACCACATCCAAAGCTCTGAAAAGTTGTAAGAAAATGTTTTAAAACAAAGCTGAGCTAAATGTTATGGATAGAGCAGAGAGAGCACTTCAAGACGGTATCTACCAGTGGCAGTTTCTCTAGATTTCAAGTAAAATGAAGCATCCAAATGAGATGTCAGAAAACACCGAAACTTTCAGAAACACCTCATACATATGTTATAACAACTGTGCAATAGAATATAATTCATACATGAGATCGGACGCTAACTGTTTCTGGACTTTTCTGGAACTTGCCGCTGGCTCTTGTTCTTTGTAGCTTTTTCTGGATTTTGAAGCTAAAATGTTCCTTTGACCTGAGCCGTGATATGAAGGGTCAGCAAACGTTGAAATCACTGAATTATGATGCTAGGCCCGCCGGCTGATACGAAACGGTGTAGGCTAGTTTGACGCCGTCCGGATCTACTCTTTCGCATCTAATTAACACAGCATAGGTCTTAGCTAATACCAAATTTGAAGCGCAACTTCGTGAGGGTTGTCGGAACATGCTTGCCATGATCCCACCTGATGTTTGCAATAGAGCACAGATCGATGAAACTATGGAACGGATCGGTAATTATTCGTTCAACGATTGCCACCTGGAACAACAAATAAACGTATGTGATATGAGGAGAAAAGCAGGTGACGGAGAAAAAACCGATGCATAAATGCATAAAACGTGCTTGTATAGCCCACTGCAGAAACCCGACAACCATGTAAAAGAATATGACCACAGCGAACTTTGTCATTGTTGTCGATTCGATAAGTGAACCTTGAAAAAGTAGTGCGTCAAGATTCTATGTGAAAATGGTATCCCGCGAACAGTTAGAATCCTTCGCCGCAAAAACTTCAGGTTGAATCAACACTCAATCGCATAAGTCGAAGCTTGCAACAGCAGGATAACTACCAGTAGCTGAACAATCGACGTATCGCGAACCAACGCAGACTCCGCCACTCCGTTTAGCCACGAGTAATTGGGCCTCGAAAAGTAAATACAGCATGGCTCACTGAAACGCACCCATAAATAAGGTGTTTATATAGCCGTGTGAGTCGATCATAGTCATGAAAACAACATCACGATGCGTAGCCATTCGAAGCTCCTCCGTTCTGTTAACGGTCGGTCCGGACGGACAGAACGACACACACACGCACACACACCGACAAACCGACACACCAAACTTGTGGTTTATATAATGATGTCAAGTGTTAATGATATCAGATTGGCATTGAAGACTAACCACACGACCACTGGCACCTTTTTGCGGTCTTTGGATACATCTCGAGATACTGGCCGAGCTAGCTGTGTGTTCTAAATGGAGACAATGTGATTTCAAAATACTGCCGTGCAGCAAGCAGTCCACTTCAATAATTTGCGGTCTTTCCCAGTCGATAAAAAATGTTTCCTGTAGGATCATATGGAGTATGTTATGAATGAGAGCGATGAACTTCAGACAGGCTGTGGCGATCAAATATGCCATCAGAACCCATTCCTGAAAGAAATCGGAGGTTTCTTCGGTAGCGGTCAGCCAAAGTAAGCCCAAAAATTGGTTGCAGTAAACTCTTGGCCGTTGAATCTACTCGCTTTCTTTACGCTATGATGACAGAAGTCAACAATCATCAAATCAATTAGAGTCACATAAGGTGAATTACGAAGTTTACTGAAGAATTAAGCTGTTTGGTAGGTCGCTTAACTCAGCGGACGCGCCAGTGTATTTCTGTTCGTGCGCGCACATGGGCCACGGCTCGCCACACAGGGTCTGATTATTATGCTCTGTGAAACAGCCGGGTTATGGACGGCTTAGTAGTGTCCTTAATCTCACCCTCGTCCACAAGAAGAGATATGTTGACGACAACTTCGTAGCACGCCTTTGCGCTTCACAAACGTAGGTGTCGCAAAGACCTGATTGGAATGTGCCGTGTGGTTAAAGCAGCTGTCGGTAACTAGCCACAAATAGTCCCTCCAGGATGAAGAAAAGGGAGCTCAAACCCAGGAGTTGGCCCACTCTGCACGACGCAAAAGTGTCGCAACAGTCGCTTTAACCTTACATTTCGCGTCGCTGCTGCGTTTTAGTCTTTGCGTACTCAATCACTATACGTGGCTTTTGTTCCTCTCCGACGACGACGACGTTGCAATCTCACCTTCCATACGACGTCTCTCTCCTTTTCGCTCTCCTCGCAGCGCTGTGTCTCTCAGTCATCCGCGGCTGATCTCACAAAGGAAATTTCAGTGTTTCGGATTTTTCCCCGCTCTTGATCCCCATTCCCTATTCTTGTTTAATTTTGTCTGACAAAGTAGCACACCGAATACCGACCTGCACACTGCCTGATTCAGTGAAGTATGGTTACCCCTACGCGTACGTTGTAATAAAAAATTAGAAGTAATTGTAATGTTTGCCTGAGGGCCATGATTTTACGCGTTATCGACTATTCAGGTTTCAATGCAAGATATAGCAAGCATCTCGGAGGGGCATCCTTAGTGTAATATCTCGGACGCCTTCGGCGGTTAAAAACCAAAAACTCCACATAAAGAAAAAAAAAGTGGAAAAATCCGTGATAGTGATCCAATTCATTGTGCGTAAAGAGAAACTAATGTACTGTGCATTTTACTCCAAACGCTTTTAGTTTCCGTGTGAAGACCTTCACCAACGTATCCACAACACCTTGATTCTCTTCTCTCAGATGTGCACGCCAATTTCCTCCTCTTAGGTCAGGTCAGAAGGGACGCTTCATAACTGTGCCTAATGCTATGCTTGCTCATTAGCTTATAGCTATTATTCACTCAGCTTATCTAAGGTTCACTACCAGCAAATCAGTAGTGTCATAAATTGAACTGGCCTGACCAAGAAGAAAAACTGGGACGCACCTTATCAAAATGCTTCAGAACATTCGCTATTAACACGTTGACGACCGTGTGGTATGATGTCATACCACACCTTTCGGCCACGTGGGACCGTGTGACATGATGTCATGTCACAGTCTTTTTTAAGCTGGTTTTCAAACATTTTAGGTAACTTATTTACGTGATGTATGCGCCATACTTAGGCATTGTTACAAAAGGTGTGGTCCCTAGAAAGAAGCTTCGGTTGATGGGCTATCGAGTTTTTCTAAAAATGTTTGAATAATGGTCAAATCACAGGAATCGCTAAAATGGCCAAAATCGCATAATCGGAGACCTACCACACAAGAAAGATAACAAATACACACTTCCTGAGAAAAGGAGTTCTCGTGGGACCGTTTGACATGGTGCCATGTCACACTCGCGCGGTCAAAATAATGCGCGCGGTCCCACACGCCAGACAGCGAAAAATAGCGCGGTCGTCAACGTGTTAAATAGTGGCGCGCCGAGTAGTCTGGCTAACTGTCGCTCCGTTGAGTATGGTGTAGAAAGGATACGTCTGAGATTTGTAGGCAAATGTGATCCAACATGACATTGCGGTCAATACCACGAAAAAGACGTCCCCAAGTGCTGCACACTCATACAGTAAGAATTGAAGTACGGTAGCGGCATCGAGAAGCGAAGCCTTTCCGCTACGACGACCCAACTGAAATTCGTGGGTTTTAGTAATTTCCTGTCGATTAATAGTCAAGATATAGATGAGCGCGCGACTATATAGCCAATCATCAACTGAGCTAAGAGGCGTCGCTAGCTGTGCGTGCCTGGCGGCCTAAAACAGAGAGTGACACGAGCGAGCGGCCTATATGATTCCAACCATCGTTCCCATTCTAGGCATTATGATAATCGATTTCTCCTTCTTATTTCTGAACTAAGCTGTCATTTTTTCCTGAATAATCATTTGCCAGCGAGTTTGAAGAATCCCTTAGTTTGCTTTATAGTAGCATATGAATAAACACAAGAATCTGAATCACAATATTGAGGACCTGCATAGATAAATCCGAACTCACAGAGCTAGCCGACGTCCGCGTCCGTATTCTATAGTTACAGAAATGAACCGAGAGTGGGAAAAGGAGTGCGCCGAGCATGTTGTAAAGAACGCGACTTTGCGGGTCATAAGTTTAGTGCTAAAAAGGTGGTTGCAAAACAAAGCCCAGAGGAAAACCCAGGCCGATGGCTGCCCTACCCTTAATTTATACGTCTCACGAGCACAAAGCATAGGAGCGCTAGTAAGTTGTCTGACTGCGTTTTTCGTTTGTGCTCGGCACAATAGCGGTCGAGGAGTAAGCAAGTAATGAAGTAAGGACTGCAGCCATATAAGTGGCCTTTGGGTTGTGCAATCTTTACACATTCTATTAAACATCTTGTTAGTAAGCCTTTTATTGGACAGTTGCTTGAACACTTGTCGAGAATTCTGTGAAAGCAAGGATAGCGATGAGACTTAGCAAGAGGAAGAAAGAAAAATACGAAAGCATTTATCGTCACTTCGAACCTGTTCTGAGAGGATGTCGAGTGCCCTAGGATCTCGCACTATGGATTGCGAGAAGAGGACGTACACACGCATATGCCATCGTGTCTAACGAGCCTTTTCTCCAAAAGGATGACAGATAAAATAAATAACGAGTTTAATCACTTACCCGATCGTGGCGTGTAGGATCAGTTGTGTAGGTAACTCTGAAGTTTCGCTGAACAACGACGCTGCGGTTCTCATTGGTTTCAGCGTAATCTATGCTTATGTACGGTGGAAAAATCATGCCATCACGACTATCTGGAAGAGAATGCTCTGTCCCCTCGAACCGAGTTTTCCAAGAATTTAAAGTGCTAACAACCCGATAAAAAAAGAACTGAGAGATAAATTTGAAAATGAAAAAAAAATAAAAAATACTGGAAAAACGTCAGAGCAACGACGGATGGTGAGCAAAAAAATAAAATTTTGAAAAAGAAGACGTAGGAGCCGCTCCTAACCTGTAATTCGACGTGCACCTCAATATTTTTCGCGTAGCGTATAATGGAAGAGGAATTCGTGGCAGTAAGGCTAACGTCGTCAGCGAGAAAAAATCTCCTTGTGAGAACCCAACCATTCGTTTGCTGAGGCAACTGGTTCAACTGAGTACCAGTAGCAGATCGGATGAGATTATTGAGTATTGGAATAGGATGTAGCTGGAAAAGAAAAGCATCAGGTATGTGAAAGAATTATCAGACAGCTCGCTTGCCACTAATTTGAACCCAACAAGAACAGAGTTGCCTCGCATTGGTTCTTTATGTCCACAGTGGCACCTATCAAACCACTGCTGACTGATTCGATGTGTAGACTGCACGGTTTATTCAGCATTTCGAGTTTTTCAAAAATTACCTAATGTATCAATTGTTCAACAATTTCGCAGACCCGACCCAACGTGTACGACCTAGTTATTCACATTCTGAGCAATCACTGCCGCAAGTCGATAGACACTTTCGACAGTAGACTGTTGCCTAACACACCTATACTATTACTAACTCGCTGTGGTCTACCACCTCAGTCGAAGAATTTACAAAAACAGTTTCAAAAAAACTCCATTTCGCGCCACTTGCACTGCTGACAGTCATATTCCGCAATCCAGGTTGTACAGAAAAGCATTATCTGAATATTTTCAGCAATAAATTCACACCTTCATTTCACTTATTTTCGTTTAATGCCATTACGATCTATAGAAACACTTATTGATAAATAGAATAAAACAAATTGCATGTGTGGTCTCCGGAATCAAAAGTACAAGCAGATGTGAAAAAGCCACTCTTCCGACTTCAGGCTGAATTTCTGTAGTGGATCGATGATCATAGGGAACCGAAAATTGTTTTAATATGTTAGATTTGTGCAGTACCATCACTAACCTCCCTTCTTAAAGGAAGTAGGTACGGAAAGGAATTTTCACATCTGCGGAGAACCTGCTCCCCACAGAGCAATTAGCAGGCCGCCAAGGAAGCGATGTGTGGCGCTTCCACTGCGAACAGTGCTGTGGTTGCTGAGCAGGACCATTGCGCCCTTCCGCCCCATGCGCCGCCCCGCCCACTGGTTTTGTTGATGATCTGGATGGACTGATTGCTGTTGGCTTTTCATTTTGGATGATCTTTTCCCATCTAGCGGCTGTATCTTCCATCTTGCCCATGTTATGCCTTATCAATCGAAACACTATGCTTGTTGGCATGATGGCAGCTATCGGGGTTAACACGTCCGAACAACCTCAGTCTTTACCGTCGCTCATCCATGATCGAAAATGAAAGGGCAATCAAAGGGGCACTATTTTGCTTATTTTTGACGGATTTCTTTGCTTTTTTCGCCACTGATGTACTATTGAGGACCCCCTCGTCCCCTCCAAACCACATTTAAACCTAGCGTAACCGCTGCCTTTAACTCATAGCGATTGTATTTCAAAAGGCGTTACGATTACCTCCTAGAAAGGGGGGCGGGGGAGTGCTGCTCGCGCGCTGTCGTCATTTGAACAGAATTCTGCAAGGAAGCGAATGTGAGGCTTCCCTACGCAAAAGCGCCGTGGTTGCGGAGCAATCTCGAACACTCACCCAAAACGTGAACGCCACACCATTCAGTTGTGACATTGGGAAAGCTTTTTTGGTGCGGGCTTTTCAATTTGAAATCACTTCCTCTTTAGCGCTGCATCTTCTAAACTGCCTTGTGACGCCTTATCTAATAAAACTTATGCTTGTTGTAGATGGCGGCTCTCGGGATTCTTCAGAACAAATCCTTATCTTTGTCGCCTCCATACATGTCAAAATACAGTAGCGGTCAAAAGTTTGGAAACTTTTTTGTTTTTGATCTAGCGTAGCAATAGACAATGAAATTGCCCCGAATTCACATATATTCAGAATCAAGTGTAGATTACGATGGGTAACATAATTTTTTGAAAACTGAAATCGCATTTGAAAAATACGAATTTTTATAAGAAATGGCGCGTCAAAAGTTTGGAAACTTCCGAATTCCTAAAGCGAATTCGGCAAAATAGCTCTCAAATCCACATGATAAATTAGTTATTTGATGAGTAGCTTTGAATTTCTATGTTAGCGTCGTTTTTATTGACATGGTATTGATTATAAAATAATTTTAGGACTTTTAAGCCGAACCTCTACACACTGTTTAAATAACACATACGTGGTGAGATTCTTTGGAATTCGGGTTGAACAACATGCCAGTTCTTCGTGAGATGTAAAGCTCAATTACACTATAGATCTTGACTTTGTCGCTTCATAGCAGCTTCTTTTTCTGGGTTTAGGAAGACGGCAGGGAGAAGGTAGGCCTGGCAATCTGTTGTCATTTCCGTGATAGAAAAGCCCATCTTTTCCGGCTAGTTCTGACTATCGAAGGTAAGCATTGTATTCTGCAGACTATACTTGTACTTAGCCCAACCCACATTTCGCTGGATACCTAGAACTGGGGAATCGCCGAATGGTCGGACACATGTTCATCCATGACAGTACTTCCACTATTTCTGACTGTTGAATCTATACTCAAAATGAGGTTCCCATTTGACAAAACACTTCACAGGGTCCACAGGACCCATTATTTCCGTAAATGAAATTCATTCTCGCTGAGGACAAAGCTCACTCTTCGCACGATGCGCACTCAGCCGTTAGAGTGCGGAAGCCAGTTGGGCCATCCTGCTCTTGAAGCCCAACAATGGCTTCTTGTTGGGACATCCGTAATATTCACCAGGTCGCGGCCGATGTTGGCGTGCACTTGGACTTTCATATGATTAGGAAAAAACCAGAAAAAGTTGTCTCTTAGTTGGGAATGTCGGGGGCATGGGACGTGCCCACAACCTTTCGAAGTATTTTGAGGAGGGCCAATTTTCTTGTTAGGATACTTTTGTGAATGATCATTCTTCTTATGCTTACTCGACTCCAATAACGCTAGAAACATTCGATAATATTGCTTCCGTAGAGACTGAACTACTAAGAAACAGTTTCAATTTCGTATTCCGGATTGTAGGGTTTAAAAAAGGACCTCCCATGGAAAAACTGCTTTCTTTGCATATGAATTCATTTTGAAATTACACATTGCTCAATGGTTTAACTAAAATTAACAGAAACAAGTGAAACATTGAAGAGTAGGAATCATAATAATAAGGAAACAAAGTCGAAAACTTTTGACGCGCCATTACTTTAAAAAAAATCTTATTTCTCAAATATGATTATAGGTTTTTGGAAATTGTTCTTCCCGTCGTATTCTGAACTTTGATTTGTATGGAATATCTAAATTTGAGGACAATTTCGTTGTGTATCGGCCGCGCTAGATCAAAAATAAAAAGTTTCCAAACTTTTGACCGCTACTGTACATGTCCAATTCAGGAGTACTAATTTGCATACTCTGCGGGATTTCTTTACGCCACTACGTACGTTACCTCACCAACTAAACGAAGATTTGAACCCTAAATAAAATAAAGGATAAAGCATTTGCCGTTGATCAATCCCTTTTGGATGCGGCACGCATTCTACTTCCATTTGTACATTCGTAGTGGCGTTTGAATGCGATGTGGCCTATACAATGACTTGCGGGGGCCAGCCGATGTTCAAGTCAGTGTTTTTTATCCTCCCAGACAAGTCTGGTACCAATTAACCGACCCCGGAGGGATGGAAGGGTTGGGCCCGGGCGACTCA